ATAAATTAAGGCGTAGAGGCAACTTCTGCCTTTGGTTGGCCAGAAATTTCTGTAAACGCATTTAAATTCCTAAAATTTATGAGAAATTCCGAATCTACTAAATGAAAGCAAGGATTTCAGGAGAACATGATTAACAATTTGCTGTCAGAAGGAAAACTGCGGAAGGAAAGTGGGAAAGATTTTTCACTAAGGCTCAACATAATATGAGGAGGAAAAAATGAATGTAATTTCCGTTTACCCTGGTTATAATTCTGGTATTGTAAGAATTCTCTATCTCTATTTACGTAATTACGTATTAGATTATTGTATTGTATGAAATCCTGTTATCACGAAGACAGAGTATCATAGAGCATAAACAATAAACATAGGAAAGGTTGTGTCTGATCATGAGTCATTAGAAGGTTTTAGCGTAGTGTGCTGCAACCTAGCGGACACATGGTGCCTTCGATTCGCGAAAAGTTACCTTCAGTACTCACAATCAGTTGCAGTTGATTGATTTCGTTTATTGTCTCATCATTTACCTATGAATATTTATATTTCGTTCATTTATTTACCTATAATATTTTTTACGTGTCCAATTAGGGTATCATTAAAACAATTAATTTGGCCTCGTTCAGTGATACGTTCATCTTTGATACATTTTCTTCAAATGATCTACAAAAGTTATTTTTTTGGAGCCGTAATAGTTTTCTCTGTTTTTATGAGAAATCGAGGATTTTTTATGTATTAATATTTCGGTACTTAAGTAATGGATCATTATTTTTCTTATGGATCTTGGATTTTTTTTTCGGGGGGGGGGAGGAAGCACAATTTTAGATGTTTTAATTATTGCAAATTTTAACATACTCAGTTAATAGGTAGTAAATTAAATCTGGGACTCATTAAAATTGCGCTCACCGCTGAGCGCTTCTCTAATACCCACGTATTAGAACTTTCCCGCTTGTTTTGTACTTTAAACAATTTGTACAAAAATTATTTTAGATGAAATTACATTTTTGGAAAGCTTAACTTTAAGTTATCGGACAGGACTTATTCTACATATAATTTACATTTCAGCTGATTAATGCACTGCCCCTAGAAATTGAGGAGGAAAAAATAATGCCGATTTACTTCAAAGTAGAAATGTCTGTTCGTTTAACTTGAAACTGCGGACAGCCATAACCGGCCGAAGTCCTAGGTACCCCTGATTGCCTTTTAAGAGCACAAGGAGGCACTTAACTTAAACATAAGAGAATTTTGAGAACCCTACGAAACCAAGTTGTAAGAAACCGTGGTACGTACCACCGCAGTGGATGACGAAGAGGAGGCGATACCTTCCAGTAATATTTGATCAGTTGCCTGTTAAAGGCAAGTTTTCTCGAGTCTCTCTGGGCAAACCTACCTGTCGGTCATCAAGAAAAACTGCCCACAGATGCAGTATAATGGACCTGTTGCAAACTTCAGCCAGAGCAAAGAGAAAAGTTCTCTCTTTGAGAAAAATGGCTCAAAAACACGATCAGCGCATCGGGGAAGTCTCAAATGCTTTCCTATAACTTTACAATCTGCTCGAGAAATACGCGTTGTTTTCAGCTTCCTGATTACAGGTGAACACTTCGTAAGAAGAAACGTTCCATCCAACCCTTACGCGCTAGGATGCTACGAAATAATCAACATGGCCGACGCCTACCCGCCAAAACACGCGTGACGAGACGGGATTATATCAAGTTTCGTGTTCATATTTACATTTATTTTGCGTTCACAAAAACTGCTTCCTCACGATTCGCGCCCGGAAGCGTGAGCCATGTTCAATATTGTGCAGCATCCTTGTGTGCAAAGTTTGGTTGGAACGACTTCTGTTACGAAATGTTCACCTGTGCCGTAGTATCGTTTTTGCAGCGGAAGTTTCAAAAAATGCACATTTCTCGTGCAGATTGTGAAGTTAGGAGTGTATTTGAAACTTTTCCGACTCATCGTGATTTTTTCGCGTTTCCCAAAAATATCACTATTTTTTTTTGCTCCAGCAAAGTTCTTAACAGGCCTATTGAAAAAGCGCGTTACATACACCAGAAAAAAAAAAAAAAAAAAAAAAAACATTGGATCTAGAGTTCAGACTCTTGAAAACATTAACAAGGAAAAATACTCTTGATTCAATCGGATTTTTGCTTGAATCAAAACGAAATCCGCTTAAATTAAGAGGCTTGGTTCTTGATTTAAGCTAGATTCTGATGGAATCAAGAGTACTTTTTCTTGTCGATGTTTTTAAGAGTCTGGAATCTAGATCCAATGTGTTTTTTTTTCCAGTGTACCATACACGTATATGGCGGAAAGGAGGGCATTTCGGACTGTCATGATGTGCCCAACGTGATTTTTGTGCAGAATGAGAACGTCTATTCACTTGACTGTATATTTGTTCCAAACAGACTCATTGCCTATATTTTGCCGAAATTAGTAGTGACAACTGAACCGAGTTTATCAGAAAAGTACCAACCCACATTTTGTGAGGGATTCGCAATTTGACCAGTGATCCTTATGTAAAAGTTCGCGAGAAACACGATAGTGCCAGTGGTTTTCTCTGAAATCATCTCCCAAGCTCAAAAAAAGCTCTCAAAGTGAGGCTAAAATGGAGGGGATATCCCACCCTACCCTGAGAGTCCACCTCTACATCAAAACAAACTCTTCGTGCAAAGATAGGGAGCAAATACATTGGCAGGGCTGCCACTTTATTTGGGGACTCCAAAACTGAAAACACGGCATCACCGCCAATGTATTTGCTCCCTATCTTTGCATGGAGAGGTTGTTTTGATGTCGAGGTGGACTCTCAGGGTAGGGTGGGATATCCCCTCCATTTTGGCCTCAACTTGAGAGCTTTTTTTGAGCTTGGGATATGATTTCAGAGAAAACACTGTCACCAGCGTGTTTCTCGCGAACTTTTACATAAGAATCACTGGTCAAATTGCGAATCCCTCACACATGCAACATCTCCATTGACGAGTAAACTTGCATGACATTTGGGAATTACCGGCGATTGCTGAGCGCCTGCGACAGATATCTCGGAAAACACGCCTGGATACTGAATGAGAGCTTACCTGGCCCTCCTGGCCGCTCTTAAGGAGCCCGATGATTTCGGTGAATACCTTCCGCGCTATGGCGAGGCCGGCGTCGAATTCGGACCAGGTTGACAAGAATTTTCTCTTGAGCTGGTCGTCTTTCAACTCAAGTATTTTCATGGTCGCCACCACCGTCCAATGCCGCTCCACCTCCAAAGACTCCAAGTCCTCGATCAGTCCATCCGGACTCCGCAGAACGCTGAACGGAAATGCCTTTGAAGAAAACACTGGGTTTGTGAGCCGAATTAATCAAATTAAATTAATTCATTAATCAAAAATCATTTAAAAATAGAGAATCTGCAGGTTTCTCAAATTTTGTGAATTTCTTGTATAAAATGATACTACTAGGAGAACTGAGTTCGGGGATATCCTTGGTTTCTAAATCGGACAACTATTGGAGAAAATATGACAAAATAACCTAATCTGCTAAAATGCATGTGTTTAAATGGAAAATGCCGCCAGATGATGTCATAAGGCGGTACATTTTCTCTTTTTTTACTTTGTTTTTCTCCATTTTTCCACGTCAGAAAGAAATTATGAAAACTACTGCGAATTCAGCTCATTAAGCACCATCAGATGATGCAATACAATTTTTGTGTGCAAATTCTCTATTAAATTACTATTATTAAATTTTTAAAAATCAAATTATGATTATTTTTTTTTTTAAAATCAATTAATTGAATTAAATTAATTAAAACCGAAAATATTTCACGGGATTTGTCTGAGGGAAAAATCCCACCCTCGAAGTCGAGAAAAATATCGAGTCGATGAATATTTTTCCCAGCAGCGAGTATGATCCCCGCATCCATAAGATCAACTGAGAGAGGGAGAAAAAGGGAAGCGAATCATACGATATTTTGTTGTTTTCTATATTGTTCGTGTTTGTTTTGTTAAAATAATTAATAAATAATAAATACGTTTAGCTGATGCGTACCTTGCGTGGGTCCTGCTTGTAAGTAGCCTCGAGCCTGTCGGCATCGAGTAACCATGGAATGTCCTTGAGTGCTTTCCGTATTTCGATGAGGAGAGCATCGTATTCTGTCCAGGTAGCCAGGTACCTCACCATATTTTCATCCGCCTTAAACTTCTCCGCAGCTTTCACGATAGCATCATGGCGCACCTTTTCAATATCCTTGAGCTCTCCTATCAACTGCTCCAAAGTTTTACCACTGGCATCCGGGAACGCCTGTCCGAAAGCATCGTATATAATGGTTTTTGTTTTCAAGCTGGTCAAACGGTCAAGTGGACCGCGTTTGACAGAAATGTAGCAAGCCACATCAGTCATTCCCAAATTCAACTGGTGGCTTAGCCCCTTTCTGTTTAACGCGGTCCAAGTATCAGTACTTTCCCGAGTAGCACAGTGTAATGCAAATTTTGAGATAAAATTGTGATTTATTGAAAGCACACTGCAATTTTTTTGTACCACAAAATTGCAATATTTTAACTTCATTCCGTCTATAAATACCGATACCAAACGATCAATCAAATGAACTCCATGTGTCAAAAAGTTAAGCAATTTGCAATGCAATTAACCATTCGATCATATTTTAGTTCTATTGCAATACATTTCGATAACTGTTTATCACCTGGTAAGGAATACATCTTTTAAGGTTGAATTATAGAGGTGAGTAAGGACAATTATTTTTCAACGGATTCTAAGGAATCATTTGGTTTGTAAATGATTTCGATCATCGATTATATCCATAAACATCGATTATATCCATAAACTCGGACGTGAATTGCATAGGTGAGCATAATAATCTAAACTGGGCTCAAAACGTATACGACGTCCACTCAGGAATACTTGATTTAGTGACTGTACATCGCATTATGAGTGGCGACAGCCACATCCGGGCAAGAATGTAAACATACTAACAAGCAAACTCCCAAGCTCTGGTTCCTTCCACTAAATAGTATCACCGTGTAAAAAATCTAGTAGACTTATAGCAGATGTTGCAATACTTTTTTTTTTCAGTTCACATGACCATTGTCATGGGCTGCTATGTAAATTTGTCTATCTATTTACAAGAAAAAATTACAAGATTGTTCAGTTTTCGGCTACTCATAATGATACAAACAAAAGTTGAGCTATTAGCCGATTGTACAAATACAAGCAATGATTGCGACTCAGGCCATGCTTTAATATAATAAAACAACGTGGAAGAGGATGTTAGGTATATTTTCAATGTTACCTTAACATGATTGACAAGCAAACGTTTGGACCAACACTTTGGTCTCCATCAGTGCAAGTGAAAGTACATAGATAAGAATAAAAAACACCGGCAAAATCCATAATCACAAAGAAAGGGGAAAAGCACTACAAAATTGCTACACGAATTTTATTCTTATCTATGTTCTTTCCCTTGCACTAATAAAAACCAAAGTGTAGGTCGAAACGTTTGCTTGTGCTTCATGTTAAGGTAACATTGTGAATATACCTAATATCCTCTTGCACATTTTTTTTTATTAAAGCATGGCCTGAGTAGCAATCATTGTTTATAATTGTAAAATCGGCTTATAGCTCAACTTTTGTTTTCATCAGGAATAATTACTGTGCATAAAAAAATTACTCTTGCTGGCCAAGATACCAAAAAGGATCCTTTTTAGCACTTTGACCGTTTTACGATAAGTTGAGTGCAGATTTCTACGATGTTACTCACCCTCGCATCTACTGTGATAAGGGTTGCCGCAGCGAAAATGAGCACCTTGTAAATCATGATGGAACACTTGACAGACTAAATTTACTTCCTCCCATGGATTTTTCTGTGGCTTCTGTAAGCTCACCTTATCAGCCCGTTCATTATCTGGGGTCGAAACAGGCCATGATTCAACAACTATATCTGAGTGAACAGTATAAAAATCTGAGATGAATACTTAGTTCACAGTTGGATGGCATAACTATTCTGCCGTGCTAAGGAAGAACGCCGTATGAGCTCTCAGGCGTTGTTAAATTTCCTTCGACAAATTACGAGTTCTCAGGAAAATTTTTGAATGTTTCTTCTTAAATTTTTTAGAGGATTTTGTTCGTAATTTTATCTGAGAAGTCTGAAAATGTCAAGGAGAAATATGTGTAACTTTCTTAAAAAATACATGTTCGATTCGGGGAAATTTGGCAACTCTCGGATGTTCATACGGCGTTCTTCCTTAGCATGGCAGTATTGGCATGTTATTGCTATTGATCCAAGTGAGAGTGTCCATGTGAGGGGCATGTAATATCCTTTTTGTGCGTATATTTTTATGTGTTATTTTAGACTATCCCGCCGTACATTAGACTTTTAAGGTATACGTTGATAAGCGAATTTTTTCATTTGAAGACTCGCAGACATAGCGAGATAAATGCGAGACTGGATACATTAAGTTCTGGCTATATTTCCAAACCACTAGTATTAGTGAACATGCATGTTATGCAGTATGCTCGATCTGGGATGGGCCTTATTGACAAGGTGCGAATTTAGGCATTATGATGTATGTTTTCTTTTCAAATTATCACATTGGAAATCAGTAAAGAAGAATATTTAAGACATCAAATATATGTGTTTTTCAAATTTTTATTTAAATTAGATTAAATTCGCTTTAAATCCTGGGGGACCAAGTCAAAAATACGGAAACTCAAAGAAACGTATGTTTACTTCTCGAAGTTTTACGAAACCTGAGTGTCAAGTCAAGCTAATCTGCTTTATGCGAACTGGCTGCCATTTCAGTTGAGTCCCATTTACCCATTACCCCCCACCCCCATACCCAAAATAAGCTCTTTTAGAAATCGACCCATTCAAAACGGTCACTTTTACGCGGGAACGGATTCGGGCCGAATTCATTCGGCACACTCGTGACGTCATAGTACATGAGAAACCCGATCTCTTCATCAAGCGGCTGTCCATTCCTTTTAAAGGAATACACTGTAAACGATGAAGAGACCAGGCCTCTCATTTACTGTGACGTCGCGAGTGTACCAGACCCATTCTTGCGTAAAATTTACTGTTTTGAAAATCCGAACTTTGGGGGGTTTTTAAGTTGATTTTTGGGGGTCTCCGGTCGTTAAAACATCCCGGGAAAATTCCTGTGACATCACGATCCTTAGTTCTTTGGATACAAGCAATAATAATAATAAAAATAAAAAAAAATTGCAATAGGCCCAATCCCAAGAAGCCTGTGCTTGCGGTAAGTTGCGATTTGATCGAATAATGTATCCCGATTTGATCGACGTCGACTGATCCGAATATTATTGGATGAAACATTGCGATTTCGTTGCATTAATTATTAATTATTACAATTTTTTCGACGGTGATTCATCGCAATACTATCAAATACAAAATCGTGATGAATTGAGATAAAATACCAATTTTATCGAATGCGATTTTGAAGAGATAAAATTGCGACAAGATCGAGGATGATCGCGTAGATGTTGATGATCCCAGCGATTTTATCGCCGGAAAATCATACATCAATCGCAACTTAATTTCAAAATATCGCGATTCCCATTGAAAAATGCTACTCGGGGTAGGCTATGAAATGTATCGATGATAGCATCTACAAAACATTGGTGTGTGTTGCGGGTTGCGTAACATAAAATTCGAATGAAAACTGAAGAGTGTTTTTATATTTTTGATCAGATAAAGAATTTCAGCTTATCCTTTGATAGGCTATGAATCGTACCGCCGATGACAGCGTGCTTAATACATTGGTGTGTGCTGCGGGTTGCGTAACATACAATCTGAAGGAATACTGGCGAGCGTTCTTTTTTTATTTTTACTCCTATGAAGAATTGAAGCCTATCTGATGATAGGCCATGAAATATACCGATGATATGACGTGCACAACACATCGGTGTGTGCTACACTGAAAAAAAAGGATTGCTAATTCACCGATTTAGGGTGGAGCAAAATTTGTTTCACTTCGTAAAGCTTTCTGATCCGTGCACGGTGTTGAATCAAGTGAACGACTAGCACGAATTGCTACACCGATTTGCTACATCTGCGCGCCTTCATGCAGTTAATCTTGCATCGAGTGGCTTGGAAGTGTAACTGCATTTTTTGGCATTGGTACTTTGCGAACAGTAAAAATAGCTCAATAGTTAGGCTGAAATAGCGGAATTTTCGGAAAAATAGCGAAATTTACGGAAGAATAACCAAAAAGGTAACATACGTAGCTTTTCAGAGAGCAAAATCACCTACACGCGTGTGTGTAAGTTAGCTGGAATTTGTGGAGCTATTTTACCTGCATGGTTTGCACGTTCGTTTTTTAGCTACAACATGCCATGAAATACCCGCGTGCACGGCAATTTCAGCAATATTTTTTTTTCAGTGTACGGGTTGCGGAGCATACAGTCTGAAGGGAAACTAAATAATGTTTTTTTTATTATTATTTTTAATTACATAATGAATTGAAGCTCATCCGATGTATGCACCGAATTCTGCGAGTGTGACTTTCCTCCGCTTGACGCTCTCGATGAGGAATGGCAGGAGCCCGCGTTGCATCTGGTTCACGATTTCGAAGATTTTCCGAGAATTCACTCTCGAGGCGCTTTCGATCCTGCGATACTCCGGTGTTTCAGTTAGCGCTGACGGCGCGCCTTTCCTCTCCTCCGCGATTCGTTTGTTCAAAACTCGCAATCGGAGGTTCAGTCTCGAGGCATTCGGGTACAACTTTCGAGCCTGAAACAGAAAATCACGTACAAATAAAAATTCCACCTAGCTTACCGATGGCTACAATAAGAGGAAGTTACATGCTAATATCATAGAGTACATAGAGTCGTAATGTAAGTGGGAGAGCTGGCGCCACTTTTAAGCATTTTCCATGTCCCGAATTCCGAGACTCCTGTGTGACGCCGGGTCACTTTTTCGATACATAATCGATTGCTTGCGATACACGGGTACCCGGCCATCCGATGAAAACAACAACAACAACAACAACAACAACAACAACAAAGGAGAAAGGAATTATCACGTATTCCACACCGCCATTTTGGATCGAAAATGTATCGAAAAAGCGACCCGAACTCGGCGCACACCGGGCTCGGAATTCGTCGAGCAGAACATGGCGCCAGCTCTCCCACTTACATTACGACTCTATGTACTCTATGGCTAATATACATATAGACATACCGTCCGTTCCGGGATCTTAGTCCGCTTGTTCCGAGTGCTGCAGCTGTACTGCTCTGGGTGCCACACCCAGAACTTCGGCCTCTGAGCCCGAAACGCTGCCGCTATGTCTATATGGCCGGTAAAAACGGCTTCCACGGCCGGAGTTTTTTTTTCAGCGGATTGAACATGAATAAACGGGGGGGGGGGGGGAGGCGGAAACAAAGCTAAAAACACATTAAATAAAACCGAAACATTTTGGCTAAGAATTCGTCATTTCTCTCAGGAAAAACGAAAATACATCACAATGTTGCCAGATTTGTCCGCGTAAATGACATTTTTATCGGGCGAATATCGAGAATTTCCAACTGAAAACTTCACGAATGATTTCTTGATCCCAAGCAAAAATAAAAAACGTCTTCGGTTATAGTATTGTGCAGGTTTTTTCTCGTAAGAAATTGAATTGTTTGTTTGAGCCAATTTAGCAAACTTGGACTGGAGTTGCGTTCTTTCGTGGGGCAAACCAGTGGCGTGGCGTGCTTTGCGATACATCGATTGATCTGCCATTTGGACAGTATTTTGCAATTTGGACCTATAAATTCTGGCTCATCTGAGGAATCACTCATGTGCATCGGGAAACTAATGGCACATCCGTTGTTTATAAACCGGGCCGGAATTTATAGGTCCAAATTGCAAAATGCAGTCCATTTGAACCTATGTGGAAGGATCGACAAACAGGGTGTTCGCTACGAACCCCTTAATAATCGATTCTTCACCATAGCTTCAAATGGCGAGATATCGATGATCGATCATTCGCGCCTCGCCACTGCATGAAACGACGAACTGAGCTGTTTCCAGTTGGAGAAAAACACCACATCATACAAAGACAATTTCGACAAAATCCGAGAAATACCGAACCTTAGGTAGATCTCAGGTTTTTCGAATTTTTTTATATTTTGTAGTGTTTTTCTCCGACTGAAAATGGCTCAGTTCCAAGCCAAAACGTCTCGGGTTTTTTTTTAAATGCGCATTTTTAGTATTGTTTCCCGTTTTTCCTCCCTTGCTTTTCCTGGTTACCATTGTGACGGGTTGCTGTGTGAAAGTTTAGTATACATGGCTATGGAAGAATACAGTCTATCTGCAAACTGACAATATTGCAGGACGAATAAAGAAAACATCGCCATTTTTGTAATTTTGAGCTCAAATTTACAACTTTCTCATACATTACAGCGTCATTGCAGCGCTCCCCTGCAGCATTGAAAAAGAACATAAATCATCACCCTGTAACCTAAGTAAACACCCTGTTTATCGATACTTTTTGCGTAGGTTGAAGTGGCAGATCAATCGATACAACACGCCACACCACTGTTCGACTTTCCATTTTTTTCCCATTTAAATCAATGGTAAAGAGTCGATTATTTAAACCCCCTCTTTATCGATCCTTTCGCCTAGGCTTAAATGACAGATCAATCGATATATCGCAGGCAATTAAGAACTACCAAAAATTGCAATCTATTTGTGTTGAATAAAAGAATGTAAATATTCAGAGGTGTGAAGAAACAACAAAAAAAGTACTGATTTTTATACTTGGGATTCAAACAGACATTTTTTCTCATTGAATGCATGGTACCAGCCAGCACACTCACAAGTGCGTGGACCTTGTGCAATCGTTGACCCAGATTTGGTGCGAATAGGCAACTAAACAAACTGCCAGGTAATGCGGAGAGTATCGCCGAGTTTTGAAAGCGCTTGATGCCGAGATGATACTTTTGAGGTTTTACACAATGAGACCTTTACTTTGTGGGATTTGCGATTTGACCATTGATCCTTATGTAAAAGTTCGCGAGAAACACGATAGTGCCAGTGGTTTTCTCTGAAATCATATCCCAAGCTCAAAAAAAAGCTCTCAAAGTGAGGCTAAAATGGAGGGGATATCCCACCCTACCCTGAGAGTCCACCTCTACATCAAAACAAACTCTCCGTGCAAAGATAGGGAGCAAATACATTCGCAGGGCTGCCACTTTATTTGGGGACTCCAAAACTGAAAACACAGCATCACCGCTAGTGTATTTGCTCCCTATCTTTGCATGGAGAGGTTGTTTTGATGTAGAGGTGGACTCTCAGGGTAGGGTGGGATATCCCCTCCATTCTGGCCTCACTTTGAGAGCTTTTTTTGAGCTTGGGATATGATTTCAGAGAAAACCACTGGCACCATCGTGCTTTTCGCGAAGTTTTACATGAGAATCACTGGTCAAATTGCGAATCCCTCACACATGCAACATCTCCATTGACGAGTAAACTTGCATGACACTTGCACATTGCTGCGACTGCCTGCGACAGATATCTCGGAAAACACGCCTGGATACTGAATGAGAGCTTACCTGGCCTTCCTGGCCGCTCTTAAGGAGCCCGATGATTTCGGTGAATACCTCCCGTGCTTGGACGAGGCCGGCGTCGAATTCGGACCAGGTTGACAAGAGTTTGCTCATGAGCTGGTCGTCTTTGAACTCCTGTATTTTCATGGCCGCCACCACCGCCTCATGCCGCTCCACCTCCAAAGGCTCCAAGTCCTCGATCAGTCCATCCAGACTCCGCAGAACGCTGAACGGAAATGCCTTTGAAGAAAACACTGGGTTTGTGAGCCGAATTAATCAAATTAGATTAATTCATTAATCAAAAATCATTTGAAAATAGAGAATTTGCAGGTTTCTCAAATTTTGTGAAATGTGTTTAAATGGAAAATGCCGCCAGATGACGTCATAAGGCGGTACATTTTCTCTTTGTTTACTTTGTTTTTTTCCAATTTTCCACGTCAGAAAAAATTATGAAAAATACTGCGAACTCATTGTCAGCTTATTAAGCACCCTTGGTGCAATCCATTTTTTGTGTGCAAATTCTTTATTAGATTACTATTATTAAATTTTTAAAAATCAAATTATGATTATTTTTTTTTAAAATCAATTAATTGAATTAAATTAATTAAAACCGAAAATATTTCACGGGATTTGTCTGAGGGAAAAATCCCACCCTCGAAGTCGAGAAAAATATCGAGTCGATGAATATTTTTCCCAGCAGCGAGTATGATCCTCGTATCCATAAGATCAACTGAGAGAGGGAGGAAAAGCGGAGCGAATCGTACGATATTTTCTTGTTTTCCAAATTGTTCGTGTTTGTTTTGTTAAAATAATTTTTAATTGTCAATCATGTTCAATTATGAACTAAATCCCGGCTAAACACTCGATTTTTTCTGATTTTCTGACGCGCCAACTTGTTGCAGGGACGCGAGAGCCATACCAACATTTCAGGGGACAAAAGAGTATTTTTTTTGTAGCTGTGTGGACGAAATGTAGCTGGAAAGGCTGTAATTTACTCTTAACTACTTTCATGTCCTTTATTTACCTTCTTCCTGAGTCATTAATTGGCAACTTTGCCTTTATAGTTAAATCACAACACGTGCATTGAGAAACATTTTTTTTTCACAATTAAGCAGGTAAAAATCCCCGGAGGTCCTTCTCAGGACACATTAGTAACCATTTTAAGCGGCACAACTCCAACCCCAGCAACAGTGGTGAAGTTATCATAATAAAAGTTCACTTTCCACTGAAACAATTATTTTAGGAGCTCTAAATATTTTGACCAATCCTAGAGCCAAAAAAAAATCATCTTGGGCACTTTTTCCTCTGCCTGCTTTTGAGTGAGATGCACCTATCATAATTTTTCTCTCTCCCTGCCTTTATCACACGTGACATTCCGATGATGTCACATGATACAAAGTACGAAATTACCGCTCATAGAGGGACAAGGAAGGTGTTTGCACCTTGAGGATTGTTCACCTCGTGACGTAGATCGGTACAGGTACTCCAGCGAAAATCCGGAATTCGAAGTATTAAAAATGGACCTTAATGTCCGATTTTTGGCTTAAATAATTTTATGATACAATTTCAAACAATTTTTATAGAATGACTTTTTTACCATAAACTACACCATTTTCAAGAAAATCGATGATAAAAATCGTCCGTGCCGACCTACGTCATCAAAAAAATCCAAGATGCCCGAAATGCAAACTCCTCCATTTTTTCTCTATGATGACCGTTTACGTTATTTTATTTCATCATAGAGAATGGATAAAGGGGTTATCGCTTAAAAAGTGTATGTCTGCAGATATATTTCTTTTTGTCATGCAATTCGCAATAAGCCAGGCTGCATAGTTTTAGCTGCTCAAAACTTGTGGCATCGGTAAAATGAATGTTTCTTTTTGAAAATATTTCACGTTTTTGGATTTGTAGAAAAGTTGTAGAATATTACTCACGGATACTCCCAGGGTGAAACAAACATTGATAACCAAGAGTGCACGGAAAAACATAATCGAAGAGCACAAAACACTCAGCTGATCGGATTTGAAACGGCGCATGACTAATCATTCAGGTTCCCAAGGAATTTTATTCGGCTCTACGTCGATGTACGTATTTCATATCGCTTCACCAGTAACTAATCAAGAATCAATCAGGTCAAGTATTGATTATTCTATACAAAACACGTGAGGGAAACAAGATGTAGGTACAGTGTAAAATATCAGACCTTCTCCCTCTTGATCAGCGAAAATTTTCTGTAACCATTAATTACACATTATGCGATTTTTTTAGCACCTTTCTCGAGTAATTGAATTTAGTTGTTCTCAGTGACCTTGTCAGCAGACGAATCGTCAAATCGGAATCGGTTCAACGCGATTATGCGAGCGATTGATAATCTTCTAATTCCCGCTTGATAAGCATTTCACAGTAATGAAACATATATTTTTATTTATCACTAAAAACGAACTGAATCAAAGGTTTTCTCGTAAAAAAGTGCACGGCTGGGACATAGACGACATTTTGATTAAAGTCGTTGATAACGTAGTGTAAAAACAATCGAGAGACCAAATAAACACAAATAGACCAACCAGAGATATCTTCACCCATAGACTGATATAGTGGCGAAGTTTTTAGTTGTGTATCGTTGTTTCATAGTAATAATATTAACAGTATAACATGACCTCATCGCATTCATGTTAGGGTGGTAGGTTACGGAAGTGTTTCTTGCAATCGAACTTTTCCTTGTTAAATGAGTCATTAATTGATTCATGATTTGTTAATGACAAATCCGTGATGAGCTACCTCCTTCCATTTTTAGGTAGAGTTTGCTGCGGCTGAAACTATCGAAAATCAATGTCCAATATCGCAAAAATGACAGGAGCCTTTGAATCAAGTCATGATTTATCTCCATTAGAGCTGGTTTTTATTATCGATGAGTTCATGCCAGCACAATCATAATATTTTTATCGGTTGACCTTGTCAGGATTCTAGTCAGTTTCCCACATGGAGATCATACTATTATACGCAAGAAGTACTGGATCTTTCAATGGAAAATATGCTTTTTTTAAGGCTGGACCGGTTAAAATATAAAATGAAATAAAATCTTCAAGAGTTGAAATGAACAGAACGCTGAAGGACGAAACTGAATGAAGGCGCCGTGATACCACTATTCCTGTTCGATGGATGTCCACGTTGCATATACAAACAAATGCAGGCGTTTCGATTTTTCTTCTTTCGCAGCGTTACGTGCAGGGCGCCTTCAGTATTCTTCTGTAACGGTATTTTCGCATCTGCCCTATGCAGTTGCCACTAAACCACATCTTCGAATTTTACTTAATCTCTTTTGAGTCCCCTTAAAGGAGAGATAGGATGTGTAATATTTATTCCTTGTATTTTATAACGTTTAAAAACCTCTAATCCATTCCTTTCACAGACCACATTTCATTCTACTTCGTTTTTTTTGGCCTCTTAATTATTTTCGACGTAAACCGTTTTTGATGGGCTTGAAGGAAAAGGCGCATAAGTGCAGTTTTCTAAAAAATTGAGAATATTATTTTAAGTAAAACTAGTCTTAATGGATACTCTGTGAAAAGTTCGCTCCTACATTCCAACTTTTAAGCATCAAAAAGTCAGTCTGAACTTTCTTCCCACCATTAAGATTCATGTAATTTTGGAGCTTCAAACGCGTATATATCTCTGGAAATAGGGAAAGCTGCACTCACGCGCCTTGTCCTCCAAGACCCTCCATTGATATTTATCAATGTTCTGGATTTTTCAAATTAAATTATATAACCACTCTTTCACTAAGAAATATTTTGTTATTTATGTTAATTTTTAGAAGGCTATTTTCTAAAAAGTGAAAAGGCAAATACGTTCGCAAATCTTGAAACAGAATTTTTCGATTGAAGCCTTGTGTGATTTGAATTCTCTGAATCATTCACTATAGTCGGAAGTAGACCGATTAGTGCTACCAGTAATCAATAGATCCAAAGTTTACATTCCCTCCTTTGTGGTGAACTGTATGATTGCTGGTGCTGTCATCTTAAAGAGATCTATACAAACCTGAAGCTAAAACATATTCAAACTTTTCATACGACATTAAATCACAGTTAGATGTAAGGGTGAACTGAAAGACTTTCATCGGCTAAACATGACATGTAGTGCGATCGTGTGAATTTGACACAATTCGTCCACCCTCAATACACTTCACCTTCCGAAATAAATAGTAAAAATTGTAAAAATTCGACAGTAAAACTCCTCTACAAGTAAAACTGGATTTTATAAACTATGAACGAGAAAAACGCTAGAAAAAGCACGGAATTGTACATATGTAACAAGGTAGAGAAATTGAGCTGCGTGCACACCATTTCGCGGGGAAAACAAAGCCAAGAAATTCCAAAAAAAGTTCAATTAGAGTCTTTTTTTTTTTTTNAGACAACTTTTGGAAACAAATTTTTTTGACTCTAATTGAAAATTCCTTGGCTTTGTTTTCCCCGCGAAATGGTGTGGACCCACACCGAAAAAAAAAGTAGCTTGGATCAAGCATGTTAATTCTTGAATTTGCCGCCAAGAAATTTTTTTATCTTGCTTTAAGCTGACTTTTTCTTGATTCAAGAAAAGTAATGCTCGGGTTAAGTTAAAAAGTAGCTTAGCAAAATAGCAAAATTCTTGATTTAAGAAGAAATACTTATTGGCGGCAAATTTAAGATTCTTTTTTTTTTCAGTGAGCACCATTTCTCCACGTTGTTATAAACTGTAAATATGATTAGTTACGTGTGGCTTCGTCCTGTCTGACTTAGCTGTCTTCAAAAGGGAACAACCTCATTTTTTGATGAGCTGTAACTAAAACTTATTTGTGTGCACTTCAGAACTGATAAGTCTAATTTTTGTTTTCTGGATTTGATATTCTTGCAGAATAATTTGAACCCAACTCTATTCTAGCACCCTACTGCTAACAGTATTCGGAGCTAACTTTTGTTGCTTTCCAGCCAACCATTATTTCGTCGCTCTGCCGGCAAAAAAGCGTGACTGTACATTGAAATGAGCCCGAAAATCATTGAATTGTATGGACGACAAGGGTCATCTCAAAGGGCAGTTCCGCCCTTTTAACAGCCGATTTGTGTCGATGCATGTCTCATGATATTCTTGTGCCTCCATTAACATTTCAAATGGGTTATTTACGCACGTGCAGTTCATCCAATACTAAAGATACGTAGGACTTTTTCGTTTTTCGTCACTCTGCCGGACAAATTTGACAGAAATAGTTTGCACTCTCGTTTAAAAAAAAAAAAAAAAAAAAAAAAAAAAAAAGCTTGCCTTGAAAAATAAATGGTGCTTTTCACGCTGCGCGTCACTGGGAGAATCAAATTATATTTTTCCATATTTTCTCCCGTGGAAAAGTACGGGTCTCCTTTTCAAATGTGCGTCAGGTCGTATGCTCAGCCATTTTCGTCTCTTGGTTGACGCAAGGACTTAAATTCATTTTCCAACTGGCCCCAAAAGTAAACGGCACGACAAGGCAACAAGTTACGTCGTTCCCCAACGGCGCACAGTGGATTGAGTCCATCGGAGAGGTTGCACATAAAATTTGTCAACTAAAACTGCAAATTTTTATGTTCTATCCGCCTAATTTTCGAGTTCCATGGGGTGCCTTTCAAAGGAAATTTTACGAGAAAACCAATGGAGCCACTTTTAGAGCCTCAAACTTTTGTGTAAACGGAGTTATAAGAGTTTCAAGTTTCCAAATGGAGAATTTGCATGCAAATTTTTTACTGCGTCATCAGAAAGTCCTTGAGCTGATTTTACTGTATTTTTCATAATTTTTTTTCTGATATGGGAAATAGTATAAAAATAGATTTAAAAGTGAGAAAATATACGGCTTAGTGACGTCATCTGGCGACAATTCCCATTTAAGCACATGCATTTTAGTAGATTAAATCATTGTGTCATACCTTCTCCAATAATTGTTAAATTCATGAACGAAGGGTATTCTCGTGTTCAGTTCACTCAGAAGTTTCCACTGACACACGAAATTCATCATAATTCAGACACCTACAAATTCTCTATTTTGTCCGACCTCTCCAGTTGACTCGATCCAGTGTGTGGCGCAAGGACGATTCGACAAGGGGTTCTCAAGTCGCAAAAAAGTTGTGCGCAGCAAGTCTAGCGTGACGTATGAACCCTCATTCTTCCATGCTTGAGTGGAAGTTTTTACGTTCCCGTCATACTTGTTGAACTTTTCACCGTTGGCAAAAAAAGGAAACGCACTTCTGTCTCGATATTTTCTCCTATTGAAAGAGATGCTACCGTCATGGATCAAAATTGCGCACGTAAGCAAGTTCGGATTGACGAGTTTTCAACTCGTTTTTTCCCGGACGGAGGAGCGTAACTCCATTACAAAGTTGCAAAATTGACTCAGACATTTCAATTTTTTACAAAAAGATATCGGTGCAATTTTTGTCCAACATTTGTCTGATTTTTGCAAGAGGTCAGAAGAAAAATCGGTGAAACTTTTAGTCAGAAATGCCCAAAATTCTCCTGGAAAATATAGCGATTTGCGAAGGGAAATTTGACAACATTGAAATTTAGTTACGTTCTTTCGTGGGGGAGGGGGGGGGCGATCATTGAAAGGCAGAGCGCAAAGGCCATAAGCAGGAACAAATAGATTTTTCTTGCATGAAAGCGCAAGTCCATTGTTACACTTCAAGGACGCTTTACTTTTGTACTAATGGACGTATTTCTATGGAACAGAATTATGTGCATTATGACGTGAGTCCTGTCATGCATGTATTTTAACGGGTATCAGGGCCCATGTCTTAATGCACATAGTTCCGTCTAATAGAAATACGTCCGAATAGAGATACAGAGCGAAAAGGTAATGCGCAGGCATGAATCAGTTTCTCTGTTTTAAGGCGTAAATCCATTGTAGCATTTCAAGGCCATTTTATTTTTGTGAGGCTAGAAAAACGAGCATATTTTCTGGGAAAAAGTTGAGAACGGTCTTTCAACCAATGAAAAGCAGAAACAAGTCAGGGAGATTTCCTCTAAAGTCTACGTGCTTATTCAACTGTCCGTGGAAATTTTGAAACGTCCTAATGGATTTTCGGTCTTTGGTAAAAAAAGGAATTTTTCAAATTCCATTAATTTTTTTGAATCTTTTTATAGTAGAATCAGAATACCGTGAAACGTATGAGAATTGTAAAAACTCATCTTTGAAAGTAGGGGAAAAAATAATCACTAGCTAACTTTACGAGTAACTCTCATCAAATTCTCAGTTTTTTTGGAAGAATTCACCTCATTAGCCTCGGAAATTTCCTTGAAATTGTATTCATAATTACTGAGTTACTTTTGAATTTTTAGTAAAGCAACCTATCCTAAAACTCGTAACACTAAATTTGATAGTTTTTGACCCCCCCCTCATTTCCCTTTCCCCTTGCAATGGTTTTGCGACTTAGCTGCAGCAGGATACTTCAGCACGTATAAACAAGAGAGCGTGATCTTAGGCCCCACTAAAACGTAACGTATTTTAGGAACGGCCCCTGGAAGTGAGTACTAACATGAATGGAGCCCCACATTATTTCGCAACATGAGATAGGAATTATGCGTGCTGATCTTGAGATCTTTTTTAGGTCATCAAGCCAAATTTCTCCTAAGAAATGCAAGAAAGAAGAACATGTACGTCGTCGTTCCATCAAACGTGTGCCATTGTAACAAAATTCTCGAAATTAAGATTTTGAAAACATTGCTTCGACAAGTGACACTCGAATATTTTTCCTCATAACTATGTTATAAAATGAAATTATGACGGCTGAAAGTTCACAGCTCAATTAAATAAGTTTTCTTCATATGTTAAAAAAAATTTAAATTTTTATTTGACGTATCTGGGATTCGAAATTGTCTTATAGAATTTAACCTGACGCCCTCCTTGAACACGAACATTAATTAAACCACTCTCAACATTAAGAGTTCAAGTCCCTCGGCTTTAAGGTAGACGTTATTGCTGTTACAGTTGCCCTAAGTGGGTGAAACCTTTTACATATGCATTTTTATAGATATTTGCGTCTTTTCAAACGGCTTATAGGGACGCTACCAAATTTTTTGGGTTGTTAGAGCTCTTTTCATTCAATTTTGTGATGAAGAAAATGTAGAATAAGTTCCCTGTTACATATGCTTTGATAGGCAGGTATGTTCAGTTGATCCATTATCTCTCGTGAGCGACTGTACGTGTTTTACATTTTTTTATATGATAAAATTTATTTCTAAAAGAAGGAGAGTCGCTGTCGAATCAACAAGAAATTCCAGTTGCGGCAGGAATTGGAGGGCTTGGAGGATAGGGCGCATATGCACAGTTTTTGAAAGAGTAATCATTGTTCTTAACTAAAAACAGTCTTGAAAAATGCATCACAAAAATCAAATTTCTAAGCGCCAATAGGTGAGTTTGAACTCTCTCCACCATGAGACTCCTCGATTTTGTGAAACTACAGACACTTATTTCTTGAAGTTGCAAAAAGTGCAATCATGTGCCATCTCGCCTCATGTGGCCCTCAGCCTCGGCTCATGCTGACTTCTCAGGTAATTTTTCTCCGCGTAGGTAATTTTTAGGGAGTTTTAAATTTGTGTTCTTCGTTA